CACGGTCTAGCTGTGCTGCTCCCAGTACCCGACAGAGAGTCACAGACCCCGACCACACCAGCGCTGGAGTAAGCCTCCAGGAAGAGTCGCGCGGGTCATTATGCCCCCGGTTCATCTCGCGTCGAATGGAATCCTCAAATAGATGTGGCTTCATCCGACCTGACCTTAGATGTAACAAAAAATTTCCACGGAATAAGCGCATGGCGGTCACCGCCCTAACGGGATAACGCGCGTTCAATGTCTGCTACTGCAACGAAGGTCTCAAGGAGGGTCGGGAGCGGTTTAACGCTTGATCGCGACGTTGATGGTTGTCTATCAGCGATGTTCGTGTAGCAGCTCTCGTCAGGGAAGCCCATGCTTTGCTGCCATGTCGTGATTTTGCAAGGTTCATCGCTATGCTGTGGAAGTTCTTGTTGATAATGTCGGAGCACCTTGGAGGCCCTGAGGGGGACAACAAGCGGAGATGCCTGCCTCCGGGGCCGGTAAGTCCAGTCAGCCGATGGCTCGGGCGACTCCAGTCAGTGTTGCCACGCGGACCGGTAGTCGCCGGGCCCGATTTCATCGATTTTCGTTGCGAGGGAACGACACAGGCAGCTGTTGTAATGACGGCATGATTGCTGCAACTTGCGCTGGCCGGGTATCCCCCCACAGCAGCAGCCAGCAGCGGTTTGATTCGGAAACGCCGTGCCCGCGCGCTCAGCGGTTTTCACGGAAACAAAAGCGGTGGCAGCGGCCGACAAGCCGTAAACACACCTGGAGTCGCTCGGCCTTCGCACTCACAGCTCCGGCCCGGCAGCCGGCATCTAACTGTCCGCAGCCGCCACAGGTGGCCAGCCAACAGTGTGGCTACAGGGCGAGGCGCGTGAGCCGGCCGACGACAAACGAGCGGACCCCAGTCGAGCGCCGGCCACACGGGCGGACCTCAGCGCCGAGCGCCGGCCACGCGGGCGGACCCCAGCACCGAATGCCAGCCACACGGGCAGACCTCAGCGCCGAACACCGGCCACACGAGCGGACCTCAGCGCTGAGCGCCAGCCACGCGGGCTGACCCCAGCGCTGAGCGCCGGCCACACGGGCGGACCTCAGCGCCGAATGCCGGCCACACGGGCGGACCTCAGCGCCGAATGCCGGCCACACGGGCGGACCTCAGCGCTAAGCGCCAGCCACGCGGGCTGACCCCAGCGCTGGGCGCCGGCCACACCGGTGGACCTCAGCCGAGCCGAGTCATACGGGCGGACCTCAGCGTCGAGCGCCGGCCACGCGGGTTGACCCCAGCGCCGAGCGCCAGCCACACGGGCGGACCCCAGCACCGAGCGCCGCCCACGCGGGTGGACTCAAGCGCCGAGCGTCGAGCCGGCCACGCTTGTCGATTTTCCATCCAACCGTACGCATTGCCGATGACTCGAGCTCGGCATAGGTAATCTATACTTGGGCTGAGCTCAATAAAGCAAAGCATTAGGACGGACACGCCATTACGGAGGCACGCCGTGCACGCACAGCGACCCAGGCGGACCGGAAGTAGGTCAGCGGCTAGGTGAAGGCGGCTTTGCGTTCCTATGCAAGATCAAGCAGCAATGAAGCGAAATCGATTTGTTTTCCCTGGACCTGACTTTGGCTTGTCAGCTCATCGGAGCCATAACCACCCGGACATCCCCATCACAATGCAACGGTCGGTTATTGAATCGTGGGCTTGGCGACATCCCAACAACTGGGTGCGTCAAGCTCGGTTCTCCATTAATTTCTGTTCATGTCTCGTCGCGAGGTCATGTAAGCCTTCTCCAGCAAGTCGGTGACCCATGTCGACCGCTTCACAATGTTTCTATGCCTGCAAATTTAATGATGCGCCGCCGACACGTCAGCGCCTTCGTCGCAGCCCGCAGACACCTTCGTCGTAGTCTGCAGACACCTTCGTCGCAGCCTGCAGACACACCGCCCGCAATCAATCGACCGTCGAATCTCGACGCCACGTGAACGTGCCGAACATGCCCGCGCCCCTCGCCGGGGCGGGGCCGTCGCCTGGCCGCACCAATCCAGCTTGAAAGAACTCGTTGGCAGTCTAATCGACGCGGTGCGGTGACGCGAACGCGGCTGCCTGGGGCGGCTCGGTTAAGCCGACCGGCTGCCGAGAGCACCCGGCGACCTGCCGTGGGCTCGCGCGACTGCCGTCAATGCCGCCTGAAATTGCGGCAACGCAAAACGGCCCGCCGCACGGTGGGCTGTGAACGAAGTTCAAAAGGCACGGGCCGCCGGTCGTCCGGGCAAGATCATCCGTCGCACGTAGATCTTTTATCATGGTTAGTGTCGAGCGAGGTTGGGTCACTGCTTTATCAGCCGGTCTTTGAAAACAGCTAAAATCGCATCGACCAAAAACACGAATTCCAGCGAAACCGATCAGGGCAAATATTAAAAGAAGTGTTCCACTTTTATATGGGGTTTTGAACTGAAATAGCCAACTTGAAGACTTTTCGGTGCTGTTCACAATCCTGCCCTTCTAAAGGTCTAAGCCCCTCTACCTGCTGAGCCATACTCCCACGAAAGTGGAAAAAGGCGCATCGGGGAGAGGATTTCAAACTCACCTTAGCGTTCATGACGTCACAATAACGTCATTCAAAGCCCGCCATTCCAAAAACCATGCGCCGATGTAGGCCAAACATTGTACTGCCAGGGCGTTCATATCTTGTGTTCGGCAATGCGATTCCCTAATATAACGACCGCTAATTGGCTCTCAATCAATACCGTGCGAGGTACGATGACGCAATCAATCCATGACGCAATGAGGAGCACATTTACTAAGCAGAGAATTGTGCTGTCTCGAGCAGACTTCTCCACTTAAAAGGTGTACCAACAGTTATAATGGAGCTGCTTCATGATATCTGGCGCTTGCTTCAATGTCTTCAAATGTGAAACATTCCCTTTAATTGCACGGTGAGCACCGAGGCCGCATCCAGCTCCGGACTTTCAGGGAATAGACGAAGAACGTCCCCCCCCCCCCCCCCACCCCCACCCTCACAACGTGTTTACTATCGCTGAGGGACGCCAGTATTCAAAAAGGATCGTTGTCTACAAGAAGCAAGGAGAAGTGCACGCTTTCCGCTTTTGCCCAGAAAGCGCCGAACAAAGCAAAGCCCCCCTGCGATCAGACTCCAGCCCGACGCCACTCCCTTGAGTGTGAGCGGACACCACTCCCCTGTCTGTGAGAGCCTGTGGCCACTCCCCTCTCTGGGTGTACCTGTGAGTGGACACCACTCCCCTGTCTGTGAGGGCCTGTGGCCACTCCCCTCTCTGGGTGTACCTGTGAGTGGACACCACTCCCCTGTCTGGGTGTGGCTGTGAGCGAACACCACTCTCCTGTCTGGGTGCCCCTGTGAGTGGACACCACTCCCCTGTCTGGGTGTGGCTGTGACCACTCCCCTCTCTGGGTGTACCTGTGAGTGGACACCACTCCCCTGTCTGTGAGGGCCTGTGGCCACTCCCCTCTCTGGGTAAACCTGCGAGTGGACACCACTCCCCTTGCTGGGTGTGCCTGTGAGCGAACACCACTCCCCCGTCTGGGTGCCCCTGTGAGTGGACACCACTCCCCTGTCTGGGTGTGCCTGTGACCACTCCCCTCTCTGGGTGTACCTGTGACTGGACACCACTCCCCTGTCTGGGTGTGGCTGTGAGCGGACACTACTACCCTGTCTGAGTGTGCCTGTGAGTGGGCACCACTCTCCTATCTGGGTGTGCCTGTAAGTGGGCACCACTCCCCTGTCTGGGTGTGCTGGTGGGCGCACGCGCCGTCGCGAGTCGGGCGAGAGAATAACACGAGCGGGCGCCATCAGCGATGCCGCCACCTAATGAAGCCCGGCCTTTAATGAAGCTGCCGCTAATGCCGCCGGGGGCGCGGAGCGCGGGCGCGATCAGCATCTCCCGTCGCCCCGATCACGGCCAGGCGCTGCTGGCCCCTCAGGGCGACGAGGGAGGGGCGGCACGTCCCAACAGGTCCGGAGATCATCGACATACGGGCTCGGACACACCGACAAAAGGTTCGAAGGTCACCGATGAAGGTCTGGGTTCGACCACCGGAGGTCAGTGGGCCGACGACACGGCTAGTTCCGGAGTCGGCGGCTGGGGACTGCGAGCTGGAACCTACGGGGACGGAAGAGTCGGGCTGACAAGGGCGGCCAGCGAGCGACCGGGTGAGCTGGTGGGTGCAGTGTCATGCCACATGACACAGGACGGCAGCGGCGGAGCACGGCACGTCCTGGGACCGTGACTTCTCCTGTCTTTTCTGTGGGGGCCGTATGCATGCCAAAAGCATCACATACTGGCGGCGAAAAGTAACCCAATTGCTGAGGAAATTGACGAAGTGTGTGTCGCCAACCGACCAAGTAGTGCGCATAAGTTGCGTGGAAGTGGAAACGTGAAGCAATTGTTCAAGAAAGCAAGGCTGGTGAATCCACCTTCAGGACACTAATATATATCACGATGCAGGGCAATAAGGAAGCTCAAATTACAACGTGAGTAAACCATCAATATACAACCTGGTATAAAGGGAAACAACGCCCTAATTCTTTGGATACATTGTCCCAATGTCGTTTGGACATAGTTGACCCTAAGTCGCACATGGGTGGGTTTCAAGACGCCATCTTTTTCAGTGCGCATCTCGATGGAATGATCTTTATACGCTTAAGTGGGTTGGGCTCCTCCCTCCTCCCCCCTCCCCCTCCCCCCCAGCGCTTTTCATCCCTGGTGTATGGTGGTAAATGTGGACGAGGGACGAAAATCCCTAAAATACGATTAAAACAGAAAAGTACTTAATGCGTAAAGCTTACCACAGATATGATCAAATATGTAGCGTCCACAATAAGACGCAAATGGAAACGTGCTTGCGGTACACTTACAAACACACACAGTCGCACTGAGCATGGTTCTGAAGCACGTTCACGGTCAACGCTAGTAAAGCTCAGCCCAAGACAAACATGTACATCCCACGCGCCAGTCAGGCACAGTGACAATACCTTGAGAAACTGGATGGCACGCTCATCCGCCTCGCTCTCCCGGCGCAGGTGCAGGCGAGGTCGGTCACTCATGCTGTCCGCCGATAGGTAGCCCCGCAAGGCGCGCCATTCATCGTCCTCCTTCCACCACAAGCGCCGCAATCGCACGTGGCGAGCGTCGTGACTGCCGCGTCGACGAGGGGCTTGCTCGCTAGCGCCGTGCGGGGTGCGGGCTGCTTGCGGGTTGCTTGTGGGCTGCTTGCGCTTCTTTCGCGACTGGTTTTAAACTTCGGATCGGTTCGAAATTAAACTCCGGATCGGTCTTTGCTTTCTGGAAGTAGCAATGAAGTTGCAGGGTGCCTGTGGCGCTGATGCTAAGATACCGACGAGCTTCTTGATGTCTGAATGAATTAGGCTTACCAAAAATACCATTCCCCAATGAATTTTGTTATTCAATGGGCCAAACAGCGTGGAGCGAAGGAAATGTCTTCAAAATTGAAACGAAACTGTTCTTCATCTACAAAGCCAAACTTTGCCATGACGCAATATGTTTTTCAGTTGACATCCCTAAAGCTGCTACCAAAGTTCTGCAACATTTCAGGTCATAATTGCAAGTTGGTGATGATTCAAAGTTCCGACCGCAAGTGCAGATACGGTGCATAGAGCGAATCTCTGGCAAAAAGAAAATAATCCTTAATTAGGAGATGATACAGTTCCTTGAGTACTGACCTCAAGACGACCTAAATGTGTGGAACCAATTAGCTTCATCACAGGTAAGAGGAGATTTCCAAGGAGAGAGGAGAGTGTAAGGAGATTTCTGAGAACAAAAAAGGCCTTTGACCTGGCATAATGGAGCCCATTATTGACCTGAACAAATAACAAAATACAAAAAAAAACACCAGCACTGATCACACGATCTCATTGAGACCAATCCACTGGCGTTTTCTATTAAGCTCTATCTTCATTACTCTGGAAACCCCAAAGAGATGAGGCGTATCAACCCCCTCCCCCGAAAAACGGCGGATTAAGACGAGGGTTAAGCTGATAAGGACTAGGAGCTGAATATGTTTGCCTTTTTTGCCAATTTTGAGCCTTTATCTATTAAACATTAGGTTGCCACCGAGCCGCACCTTGTGTGGGCTGACATCAACGAACCGGACAGTAACATTGTGCGTATTCTGAAAGGCAGAATTCGCGAAATATGGCTTATGTTTGTGGTATTCAGTCCTTAACTATACTAAACGTTGCTTATTTTCGGACTTTTATTTTATCTAAAAGTTACATACTTAACACAATTGTTAATATTTATGGCAAAAATCGGCAATGCGATTCACAGCATTAGTAATCATGACTCAAATATTTTCTTGCCAAACGTGGAAAGTCTTTAGCAGTTTCCTAAAGCGCACCCAAACATTTCAATAATTCATCCAATGAAATAAAACGGATCGTTTCGCAACATTCCACAATAACAATCGCGGTTTTGGCAACTATTCATCGTCAATGATGTTTTATGGCGCACTCAGCTGCTGAGACTATATGGCGTCGCCTGCCTCTCACCCTGGCAGGAAGGTTGGTTGGGCACCGCGGCTCTGGTAGGTCTTTCCAATGACTCCTTTCTAACCCAGAATTACTGGGGGGCCCGCCCAAAAGGCCCATTATTTGGCACCAGCGGCATGCCAAAAACAGTATCCGAAATAGTTCAGAAGGTGCACACGGAAGATTATTACAGACATGACATTTTCTCGGCACGAGGATGTCGCGCCGTTTTCTCGGCACGAGGATGTCGCGCCGTTTGAGCGTCCCCGTGACGCAAATCGAATACATGTCCCGGCCGACGGCGACAAAGGAGCCTGCCATCAAACGCCGCAAATAATCCAATCGCTCCGAAATTGCCTGCCTGACATCCATGTAATCAATAACAGCCATAAGAAGCAGAGCGAGAGACAGCGGCCTCGTAAGGATCGAGGCGCGGCCAGAGGCCGAGGCCGAGGCCGTGTAGCTTGCGGCCTGTCAGAGCAATATCTGCCTTGAAGACCGCTTCCCGACCCATATTCGTGCCAGGACGGATCTCCTTAAAAGCAGATCTTCACATGGTTCACGAGCCTGCGCTGTATTCAGGGTAAGTCGACAAGCAGCCCTGACCACTTGCAGCTGAAGGTCACGTGGGCGGGGTAAGTTCAGCGCAGCTATCACCGGTGCAACGGACGCCAGAACTCTTGATTTAACCAATTTTGCTACACTGGAGCGGACGTGATCCGGGCCATTTCTATCACTAAATTTCCACTGTGCTGGAGAAATGAGACGCCTAAATGGCAACTGATAGCAGATTTTCCCCGTACCTGAGTGGAAATGACCCTTGCATGTAGTACCTGGGATAGCGCCAGATTGCTTATCTCGCTAAAAAGCCCTCATGCATGTCATTCCAATGCCTTTAATTACTCTCTGAAAAGGGACAACAACCAAGGGCAGCTAAACTGCTCGCTGGCATCACATTCTCCCTGTTAGGTGGCAGCCGCCTTCGTCGGGTCCGACATTAGGCGGACTTGTGCTAGACTCGAGCTGGAGCGTGAACTGGCTCACGAGCCCATGTTTTGAGGCGAGACGTGAGATGAGTCGGCTCGTTAGGAAGAATGCCGCTGTGAGCCATGGGTCGAATCATATTCTTCGTAAATTTCATGAGCTGTCTCTTGAGCCGATTATTCCTAGCAATGTCGTGTCAGTGAGCCATACGGCTTAACTTAAAACACTAGCATGATGAAACACATCACGCCCCAGACAAACTAACAGCCCATTTCAAAGTGTTGATATGAACAGCATGCACCATTCGTTATAAAGCTTTTGCAAAATGAGCACATAGCTCGTTATTAAAATTTCAAAACAGCAATCATAATATTTTTAATCCTGACCTTAAGTTTGCCAAATCCCAGTCTTGTCTAAACTGCATGCCAAGTAGCTCAAGGGTTTTGGTCCTAGGTGCCAGGTGAAATGTTGGGAGAATTGGGACTTACAAGAGCCGGATGGTGATAGGTTACAGGAAAATATATCATTTGCTACACTTAGCATTGCTGCGGTTGCTGCATTTGCCAGGTTCAAAGCTTGAACTTCAAACTACAAACTAGCTACTAGGCTATTTACACCTATGCTTTTGTTTTTTCCTGGTCTCTCTCTCTCTCTCTCTCTCTCTCTCTCTCCTCTCTCTCTTCTCTCTCTCTCTTCTCTCTTCTCTCTCTCCTCTCTCTCTCTCTACACACGCGCACACACACACACACACACACACACACACACACACACCACACACACACACACACACACACCACACACACAAACACACACACACACACACACACAAACACATAATATATATATATAGAGATTAATATATATATATAATATTGTCGTATATATGTGGTATATAGATATATATAAGATATATATATATATAGGTGCATATATGTATATACAACGTGGATAGATATATATATATATATATATAATATATATATATATATATATTTACAACAATATATTGTCGTATATATTTGTATATATATATATATATATATATATATATAATATAGATATATATATATATATATATATATATATATATATATGTGCATATATATATATAATATCTCCTCTCTCTCTCTCTCTCTCTCTCTTCTCTCTCTCTCTCTCTCTCTCTCTACGAGTCTCATGGCTCACGAGTCATGAGTCAACTAGCCGGAACTGAATGAGATCTTTGATTTTGAAGGCCATGCTTGTTATGAGCCAAATGCTTTAACGCAAGCGATGAGTCTTAACCGAGCTGAGTGAAAAACAAATTGCAACGGCTATGAGTCATGAGCTGGTTCGGATCCCAAAATCTGTGAGTTGGCCCTGAGCCAGCTCGACACAATTAAGTCGAGCACAAGTCTCGTATTAGGTCACGATAAACATAATAAACAGCGTCCGGAAGTGACGTGGCTCCGGCGACGCCCGTGCTACCGGCCGACCACGCAGCAAGTACCGAAAAGGCAAGAGCCGTCTCGCGGCCGGCAGTGTCCCATCACAAAGCTGTTAAATTGCTGCGGACAATTTATCATGCGTCTTGTGGCTTGCCTCGCCGAGATTTGAGCAAGTCAAATTTGAGCAAGTCAAATTTGAGCAAGCCAAACAAAGTTACGGAGGCGTGGATAATGAGCTCTATCTCTTCTGGGGTGTCCGTGGGAATCATGTGAGAAGTCTGCTGACTTGCTTGCAGCCTCTTGTACGCATGGCTGACCTTGCAAGGCTGGCTGCCCTCGCTCCCTTGATCTTATTCTTGGGTGGATTCCGGGTACTTTATACTACACAGTGCCTTTACAAATACCGGGATATCGGAGTGTTAGCTATCGGATGACGTCACAGTCTTAAGAAAATGTTCGGCCCTAAGTGACGATTCAATGCGTTTACAAAATAAATGTTCACAACTGCGGCGTACAGACAGCTAAATTTTGTGTCACATTAGCATATGCGCAGTGTCTCACTTGTTCTGTCACAGCAAAAAGAACACACCAAAAATAAAGGTTTGGGTTTTCAAAATTTACGCCTATAAAATGCAACTTTTTGTATGCCAAACGTATAGTTTCAGAACCCACTTTTCTATTCCGAGACATATTATAGCTTAAGGGCATGCCGGCAACTAGACTGACGGGGTGCGAGCCGATCAAAAAAGGACAGGTGCAAAATCAATTCATATACGTCTGCAATTTTAGAACTCATGTGCCATCAAATTAACATGTGTCTTTCGTGCGCTTCCTGTATCCACAAGTGTCGTCCAGATTTCGTTAATATGCGCCACTAAGTGTCGCCAGAGCCCGTCATTTGAATCGCATCACGCCTCCCGCCCTGAAATAGGCGTCCTCTTTAACTCTGACGGGCGGATGTGAAAAGCGTCTGCAAAAAGATGTCGTCGCACTGGTCTGGCACAACTTGCTTGGTGGATTCAGAATAAACGTGACTGATTTCACTCGCAGACACTCTGAGGACGAAGCTGCCCGTGTCAAACATTTGAAATGAATTTTACAAAATGGCTATCCCTTTCCGCAGGTGCACAGTATTTTTAGAATGGATCTTACTTAATCCATCTGGAGCTGCTGTTGGTGGTCAGAGTGTACAGCATTTTATTTCAACAGAAAGTCCCAAACACAATTTTTACGAAAAGCCACAAATAAGCGATTCATTTTGAGCAGCACGTAAGCTACAGTCGGAAAGCAGAGTGCGGCTCCTGCAGCTACCCAACGCAGAAGAGTAAGGAACAAGACGCCGCGCATCATTAATTCAAAGCATCAGCATGCCAATTCGAAAATGTACCGTCGACCTCTCGCAGATATGACCATTTCAGAACATAGGGAAACTTACGTCTTGCAGGGCGTGTGTGAACCCAAGCCAAGCCATTTATCTGACTTCAAGCTTTTCAACGAAATTTGGGATCGTACAATTGCCACGCGCTTCTACGATATGGCGTCAGCCCCCACCGGGGCTACACCGAATCACTAGGCAAGATGTTTTGCAAGACGGCTTCCTTGTCTGTCCTGCTGAATTTGATCAGTGTGATATGCACGTTAAGTGAGTTGAAATAAGCTTGCGCACCATGACCCTGAGTTTCCGTTTCTTGGAAAGCGTGAACTGCATTGGGGAACAAACGTGAGGTTGCATGGGATCAGTTTCGTCACTGGGAATGAAATTGTAGGCTCAGGTCACAACGTCGCAAGATTGTTTTCGACACCAGCAATCGTGTGATACCACGATCACATCCGTTATAGACCTTGAAATGAAGCGGTGCCGTTTCATATAACGCACGCCTTACACTAGCGATGCATCGTCACAATGCTGGCTGGGTGGGTGAAGGCGAACGGAAGCAATCACCATTTGCTGGACCATCAGAGGGTGGTGAAGAC